TTTGCCCATTTCTATAYTTCTATCTATCCCTATCTATCCCTACGCCATGATCCCTAAGTGAACTGATGACCCCCCTCTGAATCTCTGAATACCCCCCCTGACCACACACACACACACACACTACTAGCCACTGTGTATTTGCAATTTTTAATATATCATTACTTCTAAGTTCAACAGATTCCCCGGTGGTTTTAAAGCCCGAAGTGAAAGGGCCATAAATAATGCGAGTACCATTTTTTTTGGTGAKAAGGGCAGAGGTAACAGACCTAATGTCCCAGATATGATGTTATTGTTTACTGCTGGAACAAATATCAATGGACTCAAAAGTCTAGTTCAGAGTGCCATGAGAAGACCATCCCTCAAGGTTTGTTATAGATATTTTCAAAGAAGCTTTCCAAAGAGYTGCAATACTCCATTTTCGAATTCTAAGYGACCAACCGCTGTCTTATTTGACAGCAGATTTTCTTACGCAAGGAAMTTACCAAACACAAAGAAAGCACGAGAAAATGTTTGACGTACAATAGCGCTGACAATTTACATTTTACCCGARTTGAGGCTAACCCTGTATTCCCAGAATGCCTATCATACCTTAGGTSTCATGGGAGTACAGGGTTACAATAGTCTCAACTCAGGGAAAATGCAAATTTTTAAGGCTATGTTAAAATAATTTTTTTTCGTGATCCCTTTTGTGTTTGGTCAGGTCTTTGCGCAAGAGAATCTGTAGTCAAATCAAGGGCGCCAGGACAACCATAACAGTTTTTGAATGATATTACGATTGTATTTGTTGTAGCTTTGAGTATCGTAGAAATTCACTTATCTGACTTCTTGTGTATATCTTGAGTGTATCCCGAATTCCCTTGAAGGTCAAAAGCTAACTAAAAGCTGTACGTGTTTATTTCAGTACGCCACGTTATTTAACGGCCGTTTATTACGTAATGGTACGTCCGTCCGCTTATGCAACCGCGCGATTTAATCTACGTCACTAATATCGTTAATATAGTTAAGGAATTTACCTTAAGTTCACTAAAATACCCCGGGGTAGGCAACTAGGCCGCTTGCCTTTGTTCTCTCGTCTGCTGGGTTAATCGAATTATTCTGACATGTGGGGTGACCATCTATTTACACAGCAATGACAGATTCGACTGCAACAACCAATGAAAAGAGAGACCATAACGGTAAAACGAACTTCTTCGGCTCTTCCCTCGGAACCGAACGTTAGCGGAAAAAACATCGGGTAATCTGAAACGAGCATACCCCCCAAACTTGGCATAGCCCCCCAAACTTGGGTGGAGGTGTGCCGCTGGGATATCAAAACCCTGATCCTGTTCCAGAGCAAAATCGCTGAAAACTATACCACCCTGTTCCAGAGCAAAATCGCTGAAAACGATATCCTGTTCCAGATAAAATCCAGCACTAGCCTGCGTGTGGACTGAATTTTTACCCCGTGAATTTTTACCCAGCATCAATCATTCCGGAATCAAACCCGGAAGAAATATCGCCCAAAATGGCGTCGCGCATGCGTAATAAGTACAATAATGGCGGATAAATTTTCTAAAGAAATGTATTGGAGATAACACATTTTCGTCAAAATATCATTTTAAGAGAAAGGTTTTCTCAAATCGCACTTCAATCATTCTTCGTGGATATATTGCACGTCATTTACATGGTACATTAAAGTATATGCGTTTAATCTGGAGGGTCCTGAGCGTTTTTAACTCGAAGATTGCGAAGCAATCGAAGAGTTATAGGAGGGAGATGTAGATGATGGTGTGTGAGTGAGATGGACTAGTTAATAGGTCACTTATTTTTTCTGTAAACATGCGGGCATTTAGAATTCCATAACCAAGATTGCCAGGTGTTTTGATACAGAAATGGCTTTTTAAACACACAAAATGTGATTTTTGAGGTCTGCACGTTCTTGTATAAGCTTCTTACCAATTAATCTGTTGATTTCGTTTTAGGAGATATCTTGTCAATATGGCTCATAGATACAGCATTCTATTACGATGATTTCAAAGGATTATTCCGATCCTTTGTCAATCGGTATTCAATGCTCATCGATTCATATAAACTTTATCCTTCGTAAAAAATCGATGCACGGACGGCACTACAAGAGCTCAAAATATAAATTTTAACGGTCAGCATTCAAAAAGTGAAAGTATCATCACCTCAAACTAAGAAGTTGTGATGGTGTTGATAATTAACAATTCGCAGGAGGTTTTCCATTGTCTGTACTCTTATTGACAATGAAATTGACGTCAAAAATGCTCAAAACTCAAAACTCGCTTACGCTCGTGGTTCCACTGAGTTTTGAGCATTTTTGACGTCAATTGTCAATAAGAGTACAGACAATGGAAAACCGCCTGCCAATTGTTAAGTCGATATTGTTAAAGGTATTACGGTTGTATTTAAATTATTAAATTCAAAATTTCAAGTTCAATATTTTTATTTTATAGATTTTTTGTCGAAGTCAGACAATATCTGAACAAAGTCTGAGGCTTCATACAGATTTATGTCCACGGTATACTTGTCTAACAATCTTCGAGTTGTGTCGCCATTGGCGGCTTGATTAGTTTTGTACATACTCAGCGACCAAATTTGCATACATTCTCTACAAATGCTGCTTACCTTTGTGATTTGAGGTCGAAAAAAAGACTTCAAATAGTTGATAAACACTCGGGTCGCACATTGATACGTCCAAATTAATGTCAACATTCGTCAATTCTGCTCCAAAAACCTCCGAAAAATCACTTTAGGTTACCACAAAGTTTGAGAGCCATATCTTGTGTTGGGAATGTCCAAGAAGAACAAATACAAAATATATATATATACTTCTACTCGAGCCGTCATTGTTTTCCTTCTGTGAGGTCCCCAATGCCCTCTGGTGATGCTTTTATTGTCCCCAGGTCTTTTCAGAATATTAAAGCACAGTACTTTAGCGCCAAAATTTGAATTTTGCTTGCAAAAATAGAGTAAAATGTCCGTGAATTTCTCAATGAATACCGTAAGAAAAGATTTGACTGGAAGCTTATAAGACGCATTCTGGCTTTCCTTTGACTTATATCAGTCAAAATTCTGAAAATTAAATCAAAAGATACGAGTTTCTATTTTATATTAAGATATCTTGGTGAGCACTATGGGAATGGAAAAAGTTTATTGAGAAATGTTCATCGGTCTCGTATATAAGTAATGAAACCTAATCGCAGAAATCTCAGTGTAAGCTAGTCTGGAGAAAACAAGAAGTGAAAAGTCGATGAAGTGGAAGAGTGGAGAGAAAAGTAGATCTAACAKCTGAGACGGGAAAGCTCTCTAGCCATTTTGTTTTTGCAATGGTAGCAACCGCTGCAACATTATCGCGGGCGCAAAATGGGCAATATTTCTGCTAATGAAATTGATACCCTGTTCCAGAGTAAAATCGCTAAAAACGATACCCAGTCACAGAGTAAAATTGCTGAAAACGATACCCTGGTTGGCGGCACGTCCCCGTATAGCGAATATAGGGGAGTTCGACCCCCCCCCCCCCCCCCCTGTTTCTTGTCTCGATCTGTTTTCCATTTGCTAAGTTGCTCAGTGTTGTTAGGTAATCATATCGAGCAGGAGCCCATTACTAGGAGCCTTCCTCTTTCCATGGGCTTGTGGAACGCCATTTCCCCCTCTTGGTGCTATTTTTAGATTTTCCCGCCATTCCTCGCGCGTATATTGAGATGCCCAGTTGTGAAGAGCCGCCGGCCGCCGTCAGGTGTTTTTAGATTGAATTTTATATTTATACAAGTGATGATATTTTCGCTTTTGCGAAAACTATTTTGTAACAAAGATTCAATGGCACTCTATTAACTATTATATTCAAATGTCTAAAGATAGGGAAAAGGCATAAAAAAGCGAAAAAGCTCATACATGAAAGAATCGTCATTTCTGTTCATCATTTACATTAAATTTACAGAATTTTGAACACTTACATCATAATATTTACATCAAATTTACAACTTCTAAAGCGCGCGATTTTTTCCAGTGTATTTTGTTGCTTGTTTTAATAATTGTAAAATATTCATCAGTAGCTATAGATGTTATATTTTGAAAATTCTACGAATTTATTTAAGGTGTTTTACATGGGGCGCGAGGTTATACGGATTTTCTTTTCAAATGTGTCGAATAGATATCTCTGCAATGTGAACATTAGCGCAGCGAAATTTTGAACACCAGAAGAATCTGTATCATATAACAAAGAAACAAATTGGCTTCTCAGTCGTTACACTCCATTTCAACGAAAATATTGAGTTAAGTCTGTCAATGAATTGGCTAAAGCTAACTTGAATCAAATAACTGATGAAGTACACAAATTTCTGAACAGATCGTAATTACAAAATCTMAACGGTACAGCACAATCACAACCAACAATTAACCCTGTTTAACCTATTCACGTACTAATTGTATTCAATAACGAGCATTTTTTTGCAAAGACATGTATACGCAATAGCCAATGTGCGCGGCAGACATCTTGGATTTTGAGCGCGCAATGTATCCTGGGAGACTGAGTACTTGTTTACATTTTTCTCGTCGCTCATGGATCTTCATAGTTTGTGAAGTAGTTCCTAAAATGAGCATAAACTTTGATAAACAGAAGTTCCAGGTGCTTTTTTCGAAACTCTTTTGAAGCTGCAACTATTACTGAGCTGAAGCGTTGGTTTAAAAATGTCGAGGAGCACCATTAAAGGTCTGAAAAGTGAGCTTGTTGAAAAGGTAAGCTGTCACACTTCGCACCTCAATTGGTCAATTATAATATCCTGTCAGAGTAGTAAACTATACTTTTCGAAACGATCTACCAACAAGGTTTCACAATGTGATCGACTAGGATTTAATCCATTCCGACACCAGAATCTATTCTTGTAAACTATCCTAGCGCGAAAGACATCCAAGATGGCATACTTTGGACTAGATCACTTCTTGGTTTGTCGAGTGGTTTTGGGGAGGGAAAAATATTTGAACATCTTGGTGGCCCGGGAGATTAAAACACAGAGTTGCTGGGTACAACATGTGGAAAAGTGATAAACATGCTAATATCAACGAACAAGATATCCAATCTCGAAGTGAAAGGTATCGTAGAACGTACGGGAAGGATCGCAGTGTAGAGATCAACAACATAATTAACTGGGAGAGTGGGCCACTGTGGCTAAAGGCATTTGCAAACATGTAGCAGCGATGTTATTCAAGAAAATGTGCCTCAAGATCTCATTCAATTAAGTCTGAGCAGAAAGAACAGGTACTTACAGAACAGAACTACAGTTACTAATACTATACTTCCAAGTTCAGACACAGCTTGTTGTTCTGGGAATCACCTGGTGTGATTTCATGGTATATTATAAAGTTAGCATCAGAAATTATTACAAGAAAAACCTATGTTTACAAATAAATAGTATGTGTCAAAATATCGATAAATACTTATCTTGAATTTACATTTGTAAAAGTCCTCATGGGGGTACTCCTCTATATTTGCTATACGGGTATGTGCCGCAGGCCAGGATCCCTTTTTCGGAGCTCCAAGTCTGGGATAGGTTATCATTTTTTGCCCATTTGTCTGGATTAGGGCAGTAGTTTTGTCTGCGATAGGGTAGTTTTTTGCCTAGGACAGGATATAGTCTCATTATCTGGGTAAGGGTACAGTTTTTGCCTGTGATCGTATCTACTAGGCCACACTTTCAGCGCTAAAATACTGTACCTTTGTACCTTTAGTCTGGGGTAGGGTATGTAAAATCAAAGGATAGGGTAGGGTAGGATAGGGTAAGGGTTTTGAGAGTCGTGTAGTTTTGTAAAGACAATGAAATCAGATGACTAATATTTCAGCTTTCATATTATTTTCTGGTTAATACAAATACTAGAATACAATATTCATAAAATCAATGATTCTTTTACATATTTACATAAGTAATTTATAAAAAGTTATATGTATACATATTATATTGAATGCTTAGAGCAGAGTCACGAATTAGTAGCACCCTGTATAAGTCGACTCCGCGTATAAGTCGACCCCCCAACTTTCAAACTTATGATCTAGATCCTATAACTGAACCAGAACAGTACAAATTAAAAAAAAAAGAGATTACTTTGCTTGTTATGGTGGTCTCTTGGTCTTTTTGTTACTTTTTTATCTAATGCAATTGTATAGTGGTAAAATTAACTAAATAATAACAAATAACCCAAGTTTTATGCTCATTAGCCATTGCATTGGGAAAAGACTCTAAAGTTCTTTATTCGTTCAATGGCATGCTCCACATGAATCCTTACCCTTGCTTTTCTCCTGGTCTCCATCTCTTGTGAAGGGGATAGTTGTTTTGCTGTCATAAATGGTGGGATATTAAAGTGGGAATATTTCTTGGCAAGGTACTCATCTATTAGAAAGCTTCTGTCAGCCATTACTGAGTTGCCTTCGTTCAGGTGATCGATCAGCCTACTACTGATGGTGATTTCCTTATCAGACATTTGTCCAGGGACCAAATCCGAAACAAAGGTTATGAAGTCATTTGTTGCAATGCCTATCTTTGGCAGTGTTGTGATTCT